AAAAAAAAAACATAAAACTTTGTTTTTCATCATTTAAAAAGAAATTTTTATGTATTCAGTTATAAATTATCTAAGCGAGCAATTTTCATAATGATTTTATTATTTATTTATTTTTTCAACTCAATTTAATAAATATTATCATTTGAGGCGAACTTTGTACTATTTCTATAAAAAGTTATAATATAATTTTCAATATTTCTTTTTTAATTATTCATTGTACTTGGAAGTAATCTAAAACATATATAGTTAATGATAACCATACAGGATGAAATAATCTTTGTTTGAAATGTAATGACGATTTGTAGTCTTTCATGAAATCAATATGTAGACTTTTCAACCTTTGTAGGAACTCTTACATTGAATGTTATGAATACTATATAACTCCATACTACGTTGTATCTGTAGAATATCTAATATATTAAAGAAATCTATGAATTACAGTGTCGTTTTGCCGTGAAGTTATGCTTGAGTACTGTGAGATTTAAGGGTTTTCTCTGTCGTTTGAAGATCCTATTCTTTTCTTTTTTGAGAACACAACTAAATCTTTATTATTAGTAGATTTTTTTTTTGTATTTTGAAATAGTTAAGATTTATTTTATTTGATGCGAAGAAAATGAAATGGTAATTATGATGAATGTTCACAAGAAAAAGTACGAAGTCTTTAACGTTATTGCGTCATATACGATCTTCAGTTTTTAATCTGGCTGTTTAAAAAATTTGCAAAAAAAAGCACCGTTATGATAAGGTGTAGCGAATCGACGATATAATTTGAAAAAAAAAAGCAAAATAAAATATGCATCGTGGTTTTTTTCAGTTCCGGATAATGATCATGAGACAATCTATCTTTTTTGATTGAAACATCCATTAGAAAAAGAAAAGGAAGTTCGACATTCTTAGTAGCATATTCAAACAAATGATATACTTATTTCACAATGAAAATGATTCACATTTTAATATATTTAATCACATATTTTTTTTTTCGTAATTAAAAAAAATATAAATTAATCATAAAAATATATTTAAATATGTTTCAAAGAAAAATCGAAAGACAAAAAAAAAAAATTTCACTTAATAAATCATATAATCAATTGATATTGCTTAATTTTTGTCATTGTCTATTATCATATAATTGTTTATACTTGACAAGTCCTTGATTTATTTCTTCATCGGATGGTTCTTTTAAACTTCGTCTAAAATAATAATAATAATAATAATAAATATAATTTATTTCATTTATGAAATAATGAAATTTTTACTTAAATAAATGAAAAAGTGTTTTAACAAAATATGTATTTGCTAAACCATTATGTTCTTGAGAAAATCCACTCTCTTCAAAACGAGTAACATTCAATGAAAATAACTTTATAAACAAAAAATATATCAAAAAGACAAAAAAATCAATTTTAATAAACATACTTCAACAATAAAACCAAGTACAAGTGCTAAAATATAAACATTCGATAAAAACCACCAACTAACAAGATATAATTGACTCCATCTAAAATATAATTAATAGAAATTTTTCTTAATTGAAAATAAATCTTAAATTAACCTTGTAGAAAATTCTCTTAGAGCATTTAAAAATACTCCCCAATTATTAACTAACATAACATCATATAAAATAACCACAGTTGACTAAATAACAAAAATTAAATATATTTAACAAATTATTTTTATTTTTACTAATATTAAAAAGAAAATCTTACAAAAAAATCATCAAAATTATTCGCCCAATAATTACTTTGTTGATATGATCCACATGTTGCATTTCTAAATAATTTCAAATTAAAAAAAAAAAAACAAAATTCTGTTTTTCTAATCTATCGACTTACACTATATCAGATTCTGTCGGTACTTTAATAACTCCATGAAAAAGCCACATACCTAATACAGCATATATATAAAATAAACACTATATATATAAACAAAAAGAAATCAAATAAATATTTTATTTTTTGTTAAAATCTTAAAATAAATAACATACAATAAGAATTCCAATAAATGCTTTTAAATTTCTCATTCCATCACTAATTGTTCCCATAATAATTCCATAATTAGTAAAATGAGGCATTGAACGAATTGTTCGAAAAACAACAAATAAATTAATAATACGTGTTATTGCCCAAATTGAACTTGCTGTTCCACTAGCATCATTGTCGACTTCACTTTAAAATTAAATATATATATAAAATAAGAATTTATTGAAAAAAAAAATTTAATTTACATTTGTGTAATACTTAATGTTCCATAAATTGACCAATGAACTATATGAAGAACCTATTTTATTATTTAAAATTATTGTAAATAGTTTTTTTCTTTTTTTGAAAATAAATATATTTACAAATAAAGAAACAGCTAAAATAGCATCAAATGCATTGAATACATATTTAAAAAAGATTTTTGGACGAAGTGACCAAAGTTTAAGACTTATTTCAAGAAAATAATAAATACAAAATGCAAATAAAATATTCTAAATATAAGAAAGAAACAATTATTTTAAATAAAATTTCTCTCAGATTTTTTTTACGGATAACATAATATCAATTATAAAAAATTTCGGATGATATCGAAGACCACCTTCAATCTAAATATTTATATTAAAATTTTTCAAACATATTTTTTTTTTTGTTTCTAATTTTTTTCTACATACAACTAGAATAATAAAATTAATTAAACCAATTGCATTTCCAAACCATGTTAAATATTTTGAAACACCAATTAATTGTACTACTGCCCACATACCAGAATATTCATGATGTTCAACAGGCTAAGAATGAAAAAAACATCATCATCATCAATTGAATTCAATTTTTTTATGTCATTATTCTTTAGATTTACTTGTTTTGGATGATCAGCATCAAGTGATAACATAGCTGTTGAAAACATATCCCATGTAACTTGACTATTTCGTTGATTATTACGTGTTAATATCTATTAAACAAAAAAAATAAATCAATTTTAGATTATAGAATAATAAAAAAGAAATCATCATACATCAAGTAATGCACTTTTATGAAGTTCAGGTAAATTTGTACCGGATATAACACGTGTTACTACTAACATAGGAGCTGTTGATCGAGATCTAAAAACAAAAAAAGAAAAAAAAAATTTATTTTAAAGGAAAATAACTCAGAACAAAAAACAAAACAAACGGTTGATGAGTGGTAAGTGAAATTGTTATATCATCTGTTGTTCGTAGTGATGGAGCAACTTCACGTTCAAGTAATATATCAAAACAAGCACGAACTGCTAAACGACGACGAAATAATGAATTTTGCATCGATGTCTAATTAATATTACACAAATTAAAATTAATTTTTTCGTTATTTATCTTACTGTAAAAAATTCTTTAAATGTATTCATTTTAATAACAGTAAATAATGTCATTAAACAATAAAGACCTTTAATAAAAATCATATATATACAGTACTACTCATAATGAAATATTGTTGAGTTCTTTCTATGATGTTAAATGCTTAACTCAAATCCAAATAATGATTTCGATCGTCAATAAAGTTCTCTATTAGATACACCTTATATAAAGATTTCATAGTTGGAGTATGATGAAAAGTTTTCTGAAAAAATAAAACGCAGCAGTTGACAAGTGCCAGAAGACGTTGTAGGAATTCATTTTTTAACAGTACCATATAAAATTTTGAACAATATAAAGGATCTCCATGATTTTCCTTCGCATCATGTAAGACAAAAAAAAATGCATTTTTTATCTATTTTTTTAATAGATTTTACTTGTTTTCGTATTCTATAATGCTTATAACTTTGTAAGAGAAGGACATAAAATATGACGATCTATCATCTGGTTCAAAATTTTGTACTCTGTTAGACCCAAGAAAAAATCAACAATATTTCATTTTGAACAGTAGTGTATATTGAATTTAAAATTTTCTTACCAATGGTAAGAAAAATAGCAAAATAAATAATATATAATCGATTTTTTGAATAAGCCGGTAATGTTACTAAATATTCAATATAAAGAATAAGTAAAAAACAAAAAACAAATTAAATGTAATTGAAAGTATTTTTACCATCTGGATTATTTGCAGTTGTTAAAAGAACAATTAAATTAATTAATGCATCAGGAAAATCTGGAAAATATTTTGTTCCTTCATCCATTCGATCACTTGTTGGATCTTTTGACTTCAAAAGAAATAAATTTCTTTTATCAATTTTGACAATACTTAAAATAATGAATGGACCGAAAGTTTCGAAACAAAATCTTTCAATCGATTAAGATAGTAGGCAGAAACTTAAAATCAGAAATTTGTTGTGAGTCTGAAAACGTTACTTTGTCTCTTGTGAAAACTTTCGGTTCGTCCGTTAAAAGAAAAACACATCAAATACCTTCGCCGGTGGAAATAAAATCATTCCAATAACAGAAAAAAAATAAATATGAATTGCAAGAAGAAGTGTTACACTTAAAAAACATATTGTTAAACAAAAAATAAATGAACAAAATTCAATACCTAAGAATTTGTAAAAATGATTTTCGTAAACTATTAAAAATTTTTTTCATTTCTTGTGATATAAAAGCCATATAAAAAGGTCGAAGTAAATATCGAATATTAATTGTCTAGACAAAAAAAAACAAAAAAGGATAATTCAAATAAAACACAAAAAGAATATTTCTTAAAATCTTACTTTTTTTTGACAACCTAAATTAGTTGAAATAATAAGATCAATCATTGATATTGTTGTTACAATAAAATATGATATTATCCAGGGTCTTTTTCGAGCATTTCGTAATCCAATTAAATAAACCTATATAAAAGAAAAATTAAAAACAAAAAATAAATAAATAAATAAATATAATTTACTCGAACAATAGCATCAATATAAAAAATAATTAAACATAAAAATTCAATAATTATTTGTATAATACAAGGTAATGTTAAACGTTTTGTTTGTTTTCTTAAATCAGATGTTCGACTAATTGATGATGGATATTGAATAAATATAAGAAGTAATTGACATGATACAATTAATGTTAATAAACGTTGAATCCATTTTGACCAATATAATCTATAAAGTTTTAATATATTCGATGGAGATAATTTATGAGCTATTGAACGAAATGAATATGCATCTTCAAGTAAAACTATTGCTTGTATAAGATGTTGTTCGGACCATGATTCACGAATACCATTATTCGAATCATTAATTATTATATCTGACATTTTTATATGGGCTTTCTTTTTCGAAGTATTTTTCTAAAATAATTATCCATTAATAAAGATTTGAGAAGACCAAAAAAAAATCAACTTCTGAATAGTTTTATATTTCAATTAAATTATGCATTATCAGAGAACTATGTTAACTTTCGCAAAACATTGACAAAAAAAAAAACATACGAATGAAAATGGTGTTTCGTTTCGATGTGGATTTTAATTTGCCTTCGAACCTATAGTTCAAAGCACGATTCAAATAATTATCTATTCATATATCAATATTTGAACAAACAAAAAATCGTGTATCTCTATAAAATTAAACTATATAGAATTTAGCGAAATTTCCTTGAAATAAATCACTGTTTTTCATGCATGTTTTTGAATTTTTTGCGAAGATAATGTATCAGACCAAAAAAATCTATCCCTATGTAATAGGGGTGTTACATGAGAAAGTTGGTATAGGCTATCTTAAGAACGGCTGAACGTATCGAGCTGTCCGCTGGTACTTAAGGGTTTCTCGACGTGCTCTTTCTTTTGTCTAGCGGACACTTTTGTCCGAAACGCTCGGAAGTAGGTTTTCTAGAAAACCGTGGTTTTGGAACCAATGATCACGAAAGTCTTTTGTTTTAACAGTCTATAATGATAGAGCAACCAATTCTCTACAAAATGAGATGTCTCTGAGCTCTCTGCGACGTTTTTTGGTCGAGTTACATTAATTTTAGTGAAGAGCAAAAGATATTTTTTCGTTTTTTCCCGGAGGAAATAGCAGAAAAAAAAGGCTTTTGTTCTTCACTAAAATTGATGTAACTCAGCCAAAAAACGTCGTAGAGAGCTCAAAGACATCTCATTTTGTAGAGAATTGGTTGCTCTATCATTATAGACTGTTAAAACAAAAAGACTTTCGTGATCATTGGTTCCAAAACCACGGTTTTCTAGAAAACCTACTTCCGAGCATTTCGGACAAAAGAAAGAGCACGTCGAGAAACCCTTAAGTACTAGCGGACAGCTCGATATGTTCAGCCGTTTTTAAGATGGTTTTTTCATGTAACACGCCTATTTTTCAGTACGGATATAAGTTTGATTCGATTTATTAATTACAAGTAAATCTCAATTAAATAAAGAAAAATTTTAAAAAACATTAATGATCATAGATATAGTTTTTCTCAAGTATTGATAGTTATTCAAAAAAGATAATTTTACTCATATGAGATAATTATTATTTGTCATAAATCTGAATAACAAGATTCTATTATCAAATATCAACTGTCCGATTGATTGTAATTCTTGGATTAATCAGTCATTAAATGAAAAGTTTTGTTTTTGATACGAAAAAAAAAATCAATCATCTAGAGTTGTCTGTACTAATACTTTTTTTCCTTTATTTTTTGCTTTTCTCAATTCTATTGATATCTAAAAGATGAAGTGAAAAGTAATTCAAAGTATTTGTTTGATTGATAGTTGAAAAATAAAAATATTCAATCAATCAAAATAAGAAAAAAGAAAAGAAAATTCAATTTAGATTATTTTCTTTTCTAAGAAAAGAGATTTATATTTTTATCAAACAAACAAACAAAAAAGTTTTTTTTTTTCTAATAAAGTCGTTACACAAGAAAAAACTTCAAAGTAAATTAGTCGAAAAAAAAAACGAATGAGAGCCACAAAAAAGTTTTGGACGGAAATATGTTTATCACATAAGGATATTAAATTGAATATTAATTTTATCATTTAAGCTGTCTTTTGTTTTGTTGGTTTCTTACAAAAAGACATAAATGCTGTTATTACAAGAATTAATTCAAATAAACAAAATCCAAGTTGACTACAACCAAGAACAAATTCAAGTTTTAATACAAGCCATTGCCATATTGTCCAATAAAGAAGTGATATAATGGATATTAATGTTAATAAAAATCCACATAATATATGAAATAATTGTTCAGTAAGATTTGCATATATTATTAATTCTAAACGAATATATTCCAATGTTAATGTAAGACATAATGCAAAGATTTCAAAACCATATATTGTCCAATCTAATGGCCATCCAATAAGACCTTTCCATACAAATATTAAAATTTCAGCGACAAACCACTAAAAACAAAAAATATTTTCGAAT